TGGTGAAACATTTTTATGATACACAATACCTATCACAATATTTTGTGCTTGTAGTTTTACGTTTAAAACCTATGTTTAAACTAAACTTACTGTCAACACCTAAGAAAACACTGATTGCCTTTACATACACTCAATAGTCCAATTTATAATCTGATTGCTGCAGTTATCTGATCATTTAAATGGTCATGTAAACAGCATATTCCGATTTCTTAGATCGGAGTAAGGTCTAGAATTTGGATTTTATGGATTTTAGCTCAATAATCAGATTTCTCAGTGCATGTATACTTTTACTCAGATTTCTTTCGTATTTCTCAGTACGCACGTGTGCAGAAACAGACCGCGGACCGGAAATAAGCAAGCAGCGCTGTCGTGAGACGGCAGCAAAACACTTTTGGAGCGACGCTGAAACCAACTATATGCTTGACGAAATGAAGAATTTAAATCTTCTGGATGATGTATTTTCATATTTTCAGGCAAAGTGGCTTGATGTTTTTAAATAAAATCACGGCATGAAGTTTGAGTTTTACGTTTTGTTTACATCACATCTTCCTCTGTGAGTTTATTGGCTGGTTGAAAAGCAGAAATCCTATTACTACCTGAATCATGCAGACCTGAGTTTCCCCATTGTCTGATTACTCAAGTGCATATAAATGCATTGATCAGATTACTAACAAAATCTGATTTTCTGCAGTGCATGTAAACACACTCAATGATTATTATTCGGCATTTCACATAATGCACTACATTAAACCCAGTTAAACAATTATGCTTTAATCTTTAAATTATCACAATAACAAAATTTATCACAATAACAATATCATCATATTGCTCACCTCTAATTTCAGCCATAATTGTTCTTTTTCTTTGCTGCCTGCTGACATAGGTATGACACTATAAATGAATCATGTTGTTAATTCACTCTAGGTTGGATTTCACTTTGAAAACACAGGAGACTGGGATGCAAGACACTACCACTGACCTGATATTAGACATCTTATTATGTCATTCTCCTGTTGTGTGTGTATTGTAATTTGATCCATTCTGCAGCCCTGACGTGTTCATAGTAGAAACTCGTATCATGATGATGAAACAAAACGGAATAAATTGTGTCATCCTACTGGACAAAATGCCATACTGTGTGTATGTTGCTGCCTATTGTGATTGTGATATGACTTCCAATACATTAAAATCATCTTGGTGAACCATTAAATGTGATGTGGTTAAAGATTGGGTTGGATTATTTAGAAATTGCCTCAATTCCTCCCACAAAAACTGTGCAGCCCTAATTCTGTCTCTCTCTCTCTTTCTCTCTCTACAAATTGATCCTCCTACATACTCACTAAAATGTTAACTTAAAATGTGATATTTAGATCACTTCCACAGCCAGCAGCCATCAGTACTTCTATTTTAAGCATTGTAAGTAGACTTTCTTTCGTTCTCACATGTATACTGTTTCATGTGTCCTCTTCAGAACTATTCTCTGCTCAGACTTTATATTTTTTATGACCCGCTGAAATTCTGTATATATCACATACCTAACAGCTAATAAAAGCTTCGGCTTTGGCTTTCATTAACACAGTTGTGCATGATTGTGCAGTGTTTAAATTACCCAAAAGCTAGTGAAAAGGTATCCAGCTGTCTGGAGAGACTTCAGGATAATCATATTTCATTACGCAGTTCATCAGAAAATCTGCTTAATTTATGTGCCAGAGATTCACACTCACATATTCTGTTAGATAAATGCAAACTGGGATTATTTTATTTCAAGAGAAAGATGTCTGAGACAGTCTGATGCACTGACATTTTGGAAGGAACGCATATTCATGCATGCACTGGTCTCATGACTCACTGAAGCACAGCCTCCATATGAAGCCTGCCTACATGTTCTGCGTGTTCGTCGGCGTGACGAATCCTGAAATAATCACACCCTTTTCTTCCAGCATGGCCACCACTGAAGGTAGCTCAATGATGGCCAGTAAAAAAAAAACTATGGGTTTCTATGGAGATGGTGAAAATGTGCACTAGCAGTTGCTTTTGCTCTGGTCATTAGTGGTCATGACTTCAAGTGATTTTTATGAAACAGATGGTTCTCGTTCTAAAATCTGTTGGGCTGAGCCAAATTCAAAGCTGTTGTAAAATACCATAGACATGTATGACTGCATGCGTCAGTTGAGCTCTTCAGTAATAAGGCATTTGTTTTTTACTTGTTTTGTTGATTGACAACCATAATCATGCTACATAGCTTGGCAGAATAACTGTTTATTGTGATTATTATTAATAATAACAAATTATTTCTGAAACACTGGTTTACTGTATTGTATTTTGTTGCCATTTTATAAAAGCAGTAAGCTGCTTGAGAGCAGTGATTTTACTGTGGTTAAGGGGCTAACATCTGTGGGTAAATCACCTGTCTGGCCTATCAATCATGTCATAATCGTCTGTAGTTCTCCTCGGTGCCTCTGAGCAGATCCAGTAGGGATGCACTAGTTATGAATTTTTATGACAGATCCCGTTTCGATTTCTTGTGGGGCAAATTTCATTGCCTAGCCCAAAGCTCACACTGTGTAAACACTTGCTGCTAGCCAAAGTTGCAAAACCTAACATGACTTTTTCTTTAATGGTCCAAAATGGTGTTTCATTTTAAAACATAAAAATCAGTTGCCTTTTTAAATAAAATTAATCAAATAAAGTCAAGGCATACATCTGTGAACTGCTCAACTGCAGGTGGGTGCTGCAGAAAGACAATGACCCTAAACACTCTGGTCAGTTTGCCGAAGAATGGTTGAAGCAGAAGAAAATTTGTGTTCATGAATGACCAAGTCAAAGTCCAGACCGTAATCCATTAGAAATGTGGCAGGACCTGAAGTGTGGAGTTCTTGCAAGAAATCCCACAAACATCTGTAAGGAGGAATGGACCAGAATTCCTCCTGTCCTTGATGTGCAGGACTGATCAACAGTTACAGTGAACATTTTGTTAAAGTCACTGCTGTTCGAGGGGGTCACACCAGTCACCGAAAGCAGAGGTTCTATTTTTGTTCAATAAATGAATGAAAAACAATATAATTGTGTTACGTGTTTTGTTGGGTTCTCTTTACCTATTGTTATGACTTGATGGTCATATTTTTGGGCCGATTTATGCAAAAATTCAGAGAATTCGAAAGAGTTTGCAAACGTTCTAGCACAGCTGTACACTGCAAGTACGAGACAACTGACTGTTCAGCACAATAAGTCATGCGTAATTACGCTACAGCATTTCGGTACAGGTGTAGCATTCAAATACAGCGTGAGTGCACTTAACTGGCTCACGTTGTTTACATCATAATATTGCAATACAGATCAGCCAAAAAAAGAAAAGAAAAATTGACTGATTGCTGATTGCATGTTTGGAGCAAAAATCTGTGGCTTCCAGTTATGCATCCCTAATATACAGAGCTATTGTGTTGCCCCTTTTGCCTTTAAACCTCACCCCCCCTCTCTTCTCTCTCTCTCTCTCTCTCTCTCTCTCTCACTCTCTCTCACACACATTTTTTCCCTCATTGTCATTTCTCCATATGAGTGAGCTTTTTAGACACAGCCTTGTCAACTCAGCATCAGTATTGCTCCATTTGATTTTTGGAAAACATGAACACACATGACAGTGAGGTTCATAGAGCCTGTCCCCTGCTGTATGAGATGATTGCCTGCTCATTCAGATTTTCTAAAGCATCATACGATTGAAAAGGCCTGTTATTGTGTGAAATGGTGGCACTGTGGTGCTGTCACATTGACAGAAAGCTCGTGGAGAGACAAAATAAAGACAGGCTCATAGGTTTAAGGAACACACACCTAGCTCAGTCTGCTTTTCTTCATAACAGTTTCCACTACAATACACAGCTCAGTGTTTGAGTGAGAGCACGCGACCGTCTCTGTTTATCCTCACTCCTCTTCACAGCCTTGAAACGCTGTTTCGACGTTGAAGCACCAAAACCTATTGTCCTATTGTTTCTCAAAGGTTTGATAGACAGCAAATGTTGAACAGTGTTTCTGTAGGTCAGGGAGCTTGCATGCTCATTTTGTTTTAAAGCAGAATGTTAAAATTCTGAGCTTTTCTTTGTGGTTTCCAGGGAAACAGAAGTGAGAAGGACCTTGCAGTATTTTGTTTGTCTGTATTCTACAAATATATTATTCAGCATCTATGAATATTAAAACATTTATACTGCATATATATATGGAGGGTTTGTGTGACAGATTTGCCAATATCTTTACCAAAGCTCCTGAAAACCTGTCCACTTAAACATCAAACAAGCTTTTAATTTAATCTTAAAGCTGCACTATGTAAGATTTGGGGTTTGGAGACCTCTGTGGTTGTAACGTTGGTTAAATGGATACATCTAATGATTACAAACGTATTGAAGTAGTGTACAAAGAGAACTTGGTTCACAAAGTCAAAACTTGTTAGCCACCGTTTCTTCCGAGGAAATAAATGATCTACTGTTGTCATCATACTGTATTTTCATCAGTATAATGTTGATTGTGCATTTGAGACCTAAACATCAAGCCAGGCCTTCTTTTTGAGGCTGTGCTTGTGATGTTAAAATGTAATGGCATATGACGTGGTCCAGAAAACTCTGATCCGATCTGATGCCTCTGACTTTTCAATTACTGTTTCAGGTTTTATAGGGTGACTCATAGCAGCACATGCACACCATATTTTAGCATGCTTTTTTTTTTTAAGATAAAAGCGTGCAAGTTTTCAAAAAGCAGCTGATTGGATTTTGGCTTGTGAATGAAAACCTGAAATCTGGTTATTTCAGTTGCTATTTTGGGCATTAATCCAATCCAGAAGATGATATGGGTTGCACTCTAAGCTGTAGCGGGGAAGCTGGATGATTGTCAGTAAATTAAGAACTGTTTCGAAGAGTGGCTGTGATGACACGGTTTTAGCAGCTCTTTGTGGGATTTTCAGCGTTGTAGTTGTGGGAGTTTATTATATGAAACATGTTGTGTGTTTACTCTTGCAGGTGCTGGTGTCAGGTCAGGCCTTAGTTGATGACTTGTATCTGGAGGAACAGCAGTCGGGTGATTTTCCTGACGATGATGACGACTTCAGCTCCGGCTCAGGATCAGGTAAGCATCACATATTACAGTTAATATCAGCGTTGGATCACTGTTTTTAATATCAGTTTTCCCTTAAGCAGGATTTCTTTTGAAGGTTATGCTGTTGGCGCCGCATACACATTTACTGCAAGCAACCTTTAAGGGAGTGTCCTTAGCTGACCTATATTGTTAGCTTTCATGTGCGTATGACCCATATGAAAACTAAATTGTGCTTTTCTACCCGGCAGTGTGGTACGCCACGGTACGATTACAAACCATGATCATGCATTTTCATTGCCAAGTGACATGTACCGTACGTGAAGCCCAGTGCTGAATTTGGTTAACCTACATGCCGAGGTACCAGTCGTACCAGAAAACACAGTTGTATGCAAAATTTTGTGTGCCTCTGGTCAAATTACATGTTTTGATGATTGAAGATAAATGCTCTATGAAAAATACACTACCATACATTTACTGTTTAATGCAAGTGCTGTTTATTTACTGAATTTCACATATTGGGAAAAATGAGACATAAAATGAGGCATGTGAAAAAGTGCACATTTTATTTTGTCCAAGACGTTCCACTTAGCAAATAAACAGAAATTGCACACTAAAATTTGCAGAAAATTTTGTTTGTGTCCTGTAGTGGCTGTGTTACTTATTTTCACATGGAAAATCAACACAACATTTAATTTGACGGGGGGGTGTTGAAACTTTTTCATTTAACAAAAAGTGCAGCCCATTGATTAGCAAAATGCAATCACTACAGGATCGTCCTACATTGTCACTCGTCAGACACCTCCGATTTTTAAAAACTAGACATCCAGAGTCTCTGTTTTTGACTCTACACATAAAACCAAATGCATAACCTCCAGAGAACCTGGCCTGCTTTCTTGGGTACCATGTCCCTGATGGGAAAAGAGACACAGGTACTTGACTATGGTGCGGATATTTCTAGATTCTAACAAGTAAAAGAGCCGTGCCATACCACACTGTCTGGTTGAAAAGCACCTAAAAATATTATGATATATGATCAGAATATTTGAAAATATAAATAGAATATATTGCAGTATATTTTGCAGTATTTTTGCATTATATTTTTATATAAGCTTTTTTGCATGGGAAGCTGGTTAGCATTGTCTGGTTCCTCATGATTGGCAGACTTTCAGGGCCCTGGCACCAGAAGCTTGTGAATATTCCAACATAACCAATTAGTTTGTTGTACATAAACTTTATTTGATCATATATATGTTCATATATATGAGACTGTGTTCCTGTGTTTAATGTTGTAAGTGCAGAGACAGTGTCACTAAGTTTGTTGAAGATGTTTTTTTTGTGCCTGGACTCGGGCGTAATGGCCCAGGCAAGCCCCAGAGTGTGGCTGGTTTGACACAGCTCATTAAGCCTGTAATGCCAAGTCACAAATACTGGAGTGCTTTTGTGCGGCCACTGTAAGCAGAAGGGCTGCCTGCTGGCTTCTAGACAATGGCAGCAGTTTGATGAGTGCACAGATGTTTCACCTGCGGTCAAACGCGGTCAGCCAAGACCACCATGGTTATCCAGCAGGTGTCTGCTTCATACATGAGCCCTACATTATTAAAGATTAAGCTCCTTCTCTGTCTCTCTGCAATCAAGCACAACACCATACACCAACACTTACAGGGACTGTTTTATATAGAAGGGTGTGAACACTGTATAGAAGTTTTTACTCTACATTTATGTACATCTATTACATGAACCTTTAGAAAGTACACACATTGTTTTATGTGCAGTGCTTTCGGATAAACAAAATTGATCCAGAGCTCATTTAAACAGAGCTAAGGAAGCTAGAATATTTCAATTTGTTCCTGTTAGGGATGGAATGGGATGAAATTTTAGTATCATGATATCATTGATCAAAATGATCACAGGTTTTGGTATTATAGCGTTATGGTTAAACTATACTGATGTATATGTCAAATAATGTTTAAAAAGCACTAATACACATTAAAATCATTTCACTGTAGGTAATATACATATAGACCTTTTAATTAACACAAAAACATTATCTTTTCAGAGTTCAAGTGTGTAAACATAGTGTCTTGGCATGTGATTTGCATGGAGGCTGCACACACGCGCACACACACACACACATTATCTATGCTGCTCTCCTTCTGGGTCGCGGGGGTTGCTGGAGCCTATCCCAGCAGTCACTGGGCGGAAGGCAGGAAACACCCTGGACAGGCAGGGAGACTGCAGCACGAGGCTATTTAAGAAGACACACATTTACTGAAATTTTTGGAATGTATCATTGGGTTTTATAATGCGGTATTCCATTAAAACGTTTAACCATCCTGCACCCAGTACCAATACAATATGTGTCCAAAAGTTTGTAGATACATAATTATCAAATGTTTCTTCTGAAATCAAGGGCTGTAATAGGGAGTTTGTTCCCCTTTATTTCAGTAATAGACTCTACTCTTCTGAGAAGACTTTATACCAGATGTTGTGAGTAATCAAGTCAAATCACATTGATTGCTTTCAGCCACAAGAGCATTAGTTGACTCAGGTACGGATATTGATTAAATAGTTCTGGATCAAACACCATTCCAACTCATCCCAAAGATATTTGAGGTACTCAGTCACTTCAGAGATTGCAGTGCCACTGCTCCACAGCCCAATGCCAGGGGCTTTATTCCCCTTGAGTCTCCATTTGGCTCATCATTGGGCATTTTGACCTTAAGGTCACATAAGGCTGCTCCAGAGTATCCCCTTCTATTGGCAAAGCTTCTGTGGAGACTATACAAGCTGTGTGTGCGCAATTGAATAACTGTGTCAGCAGTGTGTGCAACTTAAAGTACTGAATTCAATAATTAGGGATGTCTGGATACTTTTGGGCATAGTTCACACTGTGATTTGGAATTTGATATATTTTATGTCCCCTGTTCATTGCATACAGGTTTCGGTGATATTGATGATGAGGATTTGTCAGTGGTGACCATGCGGCATATGGAGCCCATTGAGCATTTCACCCAGACCAGCAGCCCCAGCCTGGAGACATCCTCGCCCATAGAGGTAGAATCAGCCATGGACACCACAGTGGAAGACCAAATGGAGATAGAGGTGAAAATGCATTTCATGCAAATATGATTGCAACTAGCAGACATATTCAGAAATTTCCTCCTGGCGTTATTGTTGTCACTTGTCATAGTTTGACACTGCATGTCAAAATATCTCACAGACTCTACCAGGAAGAAAAACTTAGAAATCCCACAAGCAGTGACATGTTGTGTTTCTTTTTGTATTGCACCTGTTTGAGTCAGTTGACAGGCTGGCACCACTCTCTGTCTGCACTGTAACCTGTGGAATATTTCACCTCAGTCTTAAGTCAGATTTTTCTCTCCTTTGTCTGCTTGAACATACCTTGTAGTCTATATGATTAACCATATATGAATATAGCCTATCCCATTTTAAGGAACCATAAATAATTGGACAAATAATTGACCTAAAATATCACCAGACACTCTGTATCTTCCCGGGAGATGCTCTGCTCTCACTGTAGTGCAGTCAGTATCAGTTTCTGCATGTTTCAGGGGCTTTTTGCTTTCAGGCTTGTCTTCTGTAAGTGAAATGCATGTTCAGTGAGGCTAAGATCAGGTGTTTTTCTTCATGATTGAAAGCATTCTTTAGCCAAGCACTGCTAAAGTCTTCTGTGTTCTCCCAGGTTGTTTACTATTGCTAATCCCGCAAGTACATTCTTGGTTTTTTTTTAAGACATATCAAAATGTTTTTTTTGCCAAATCTGTTTTTAGCTTTATGATGGTCTGCTTTGCTAGCAATGGCATGTCTTTGGTCTTCATGATCAGAGACAACAACACACTCTAGATGCAAATGGCACATCTATAGTCAACCCTACATCTTCTTTGTTAGCTCTCTTATGGGTGAACTAATGATGCAATGACACATGGCTGGCAAAGAAGCAACCAAGCAGCCAGTTGACCAGTTACTTACTTAGGGTCAACTGAATTGGGGGACTGAGTGGGCAAATGGCTGTGAATGTTACAGTGTTGACCCAGTATGAATACCTTCAAACTAAAACTGACAATGTGCACTTTAACCTGGGCTACAGAAGCAAAACAACAAAAACTGGGTCAATGTCCAGTTACTTCTTAACTACACTGTTAATACCAAGTTATACTGATTATCTGGCCAATTTTACAGGAATGGTCTGTTGTCTTCTTTGATTTTGCTTCTACCTTTTTGTGTCTGTATCCTCCCTAGGTATCTGATTATCAGACTGAGGAGCCTCAGGTCAGTATTGTAGCCACCAGCACCAGCAGTTCCCCTGGTCCACAGGAATCTGACAAGCAGCATGAGGTGCGCACAGAAAACCTCTTCCAGAGGACAGAGGTGCTGGCAGGTATGTTCAGCTTTGTGTCAAAGATGTCTTTCTGATTTCCCTATGGGGAAACATGTGTATCTCACACTTTTTGTCTGATAAGAAGCCTAGAGACTAAAACAAGTATTTGGTCTACTTTTGGATGCTTGACTGAAGACATTTAATTCACTTTCTAAAGCTAACATGGTTATTTGAACGCCTACTTTTACTCTTCACCATTTCAGTGATAACTTTGGCTTTTAGAATTCAGTGCATTACAAATCTTAGTAACCCCTACAGTCCATCACGTTTCTGACCCTAAATGCAGTTGTATATGTGCAAGTAGAACATATGTCATGTTAAACAGTTTTACAGATATCGCACTGAACATTCTTCTCTACATTATGATGTAAAGACTGTATTTTGATATCTCTCTTTCTTCTCCTGTATTCCTGTAGCCGTTATAGCTGGTGGTGTGATCGGCTTCCTGTTCGCTATCTTCCTCATCCTCCTCTTGGTGTACCGCATGAGGAAGAAGGATGAGGGCAGCTACGATCTGGGGGAGCGTAAACCACCCAGCACAGCCTATCAGAAGGCTCCAACCAAGGAGTTCTATGCCTAAATGACCAATCATTCTCAACATTAACATCCATTTGACAACCAGTTCCTCAGTCTTTTAAACGAAAAGCTGGATTGATAAAAGACTGAGGAGGGTTTTATTGGAAACTTTATTTAATAACAAAGATATTTTTGCTTCATAAAGCCAATCAGGTCTTGTGTTTTCATTTTGGATTACAATTTGTTTCTTTTGTGGATTTTGAAATTGTTGGAGAAAATAATATGTAATATAAAACAGTGGATCTTTTGTCATGACTTCATCCATTGACTACTTTGTAACTGTAGAGGTAAATGTTTGTATTAAAAAATGAGGAAAGAGGTTGAAATGTGGGCTATAATTGTACTTCATCTTTTATGTTTTAATAATTACCCTGATCACATTTCAGCAGTTTCTCCATTGCTTATAATGTCAATGTTAACCTCATTTTTGATTTAGGTACAGGAATTTTTAATTTTGTAAAGATTTTTTGGGGGGCTTGTGCCATTTTTTTTTTTAGCTCTGTCAACATGAATTTGTATATTTTTGTCAGTTCTGTATCAATGTATAGGAGGACCAACCATTTTCAAAATGTCTTAATGTCATATTTTGTCATATCTCATTTTTTTGGGTGGAATTGCTTCAGACTCCAGCTCCCCAGATATTCAGATTTCCTTTTTAATCAAGCCAAGAACAAATCTTTCAGCTCTCAGCTTCATCTCTCTCTCTCTCTCTCTCTCTCTCTTTCTTAAGTTGCTATGCAAGGTAATGTGAACTCATTGAGTAAGCAGTGCTACTTGACACTTTTCTTTGATTTGTAAATCTAATGTCACTGTCTCTTTATTCCGTGACATTTATGCCCTCTAGCCATGTTCAAACTCGCAAGGTTTTTAAAAATATTTTTCCCACCTAAGCTGTTAATCGTTAAAGTGCCATCAAATTTTCAGCTTTAAACAGTCTTAGTTTTGTGTCTATGATTCAGGGTCTTCACTGCACTTGCAGAGTTTGAAAACAATGACATTACTATTCTTAGCTCAAACGTGTGGGAATGCTTTAGGCCAACTTTAACATGACTTTTCCTACTGACTTTTCAGATTTATTTCACACCGGTAAAATAAACACATTATTAATTGTAGTCATTGAACCAATTATGTCTTGAGACAAAACTGTTAGATGGTTAAGTGAGTGTATAAATGGTAGGTAATGTGCTCTAATGTATCTGTTTCCATTGGAAACTCTTCACTTCTATGACCTCAGTGGACACATCATTGTGATATTCATGTTGGTAAAAGTCTCAATGTTGTTTACATCCCTTAATTAGGTTGGCTAGGAGATAACACTGAAACTAGCCTTGCAAGCCAAACTTCTGGGTATTGCTGTGTAACTATGTGGGCAGAGCTTTCATGTTAATTCAGGCTGTTGTTGGGGCCTAGATTGTTTAATGATGGAAACTTGGTGGCGCGTTCATGTAAGCTGGCATCATTAAAATGTTGGCTTCTAAGTATTCTCACTGAAATGAAGGGGAATGACTAATGAGTGACTGAAAAGAAACAAAAATCAGATGTTGGAAATGTATTGAATCAGAATTCAGAATGAGGTACATAGAAAGATTCCCAGCATAAGTGCACTTCATTTTTTTCTTGGTTAATACACCTGTAGTGGTCCTTTTCTGTGTTCATTGTTGATGTTCCCTTAGTAGGGCCATGTTTTCATAGCTGAATTCTTGATTGTTGTTATAATACTGATTAACAATTTTCCAAAGACTTAAACAGTGTTGTGACGATAATTACATGTCTTGATTACATTCTCATTCCTTTTTATGTTCCTTTCTGCTTAATTTCCTTTAAGGACCTGACCATTTTGAGTCAATGACTTATCTGTATATGTTAATATACGATAATTTATAGAATATAATTATTTATATACAACATATTAAATGTAATATGTTAGTTTAAAAAAAAGTCTATGAAAATGTATATTCACAGATGTTTAAACGCCCTTGAAGTGCCTACTGTTTTGAAACAGATTCCCATTTTGGGCATTTGAGGACATTTGTACAACAGGATGATATGAAGGATCGAGCTTCATAAGCATGGGTGATAATGGCATCATTACAGAGTTATGAAAGCAGTGTTGTAATAAGAAACACTACTGAATAAACATTTTCTCATGGAACTGTCAAACTGTGGTTATTCTGCAGCTACTGTCCTACATATATCTGCTCTTTTAGTGAATAGCAATTTTTTTAGATCATCAGCAGAGTCATCATTTCTCTGGGCTGTGTTTGTCTACATGTGTGTATGCCACTGAGTATAATAACTTTGGGAATGTCATGAGAATTGAGTTCAATCACAACACATAAGCCAAACGTCTCTCAAGTGTCTCTCCAAGCTATTAAACAAAAGGTGCAAAGGAAATGTAAGTCTTCTAACAGAGATAGCTCTGGGATTTGTCACTATCACGATTCGCAGGACAGTAATGGCTTTGACAAACTCAAACACAAACCCCAGCTGCCAGGCGTACTGTCTAATCGAGCTTACTGGCAATTCTCTCACACTTTGGCAAGCATGAGTGAAAGACTGGTTTTTGAGTAGATTACTACTCATAGTACAGCTCAGAGATGGGTCACCACTCTTCCTCACAAAATCTCTCCCGATCCTTGTTTGACTTGGCTAACAAACTGGACAATGTTACATGGGCCAAAAAGGAGACTTCTGCCATGAGCTTTATTTCTAATATGATCAACTTGACTTGACAGAATTCTCTTATATAAGTGTTTCCTAATCCTACACTCTTAAAAAAGATTGTTCCTCAAGGGTTCTTTAGTAAAGACAGCGATTCTATATAGAACCGTGAACACTCAAAGAATAACCTACACATAGTAAGAGTTCTTTGCATAGTGAAATCATTCTTTAGACTGATGGATAATCTCTTGTCTGGTTCTATATAGAGCCTTTTTGAAAAGGGTTCTATATAGAACTAAAAAAGGTTCTTCTATTGTTACGATGTAAAGCTTGTAACAATAGAAGAACCCTTTTTGGTGCGATATAGAAACCTTTTCAAAAAGGTTCTATATAGAACCAACTACAGCACATTCTCCATCAGACTGAAGAATGCTTTCACCATCCAAAGAACCCTTTAATCATGCAAATGGTTCTTTAAGTGTTCATGGTTCTATATAGAACCATTTTCTTTACTAAAGAACCCTTGAACACTGTCTTCTTAAGAGTTTAGCCCTGCATTGCACACAGTAGTGCTTTAAATAAATACACCGCTATCAACTGACAAGTAATGGACAAACTCTTCATGGGCTTAAAACAGGTATTTTAGAGATTCATGGCAGCTGTTTTAGCTTTTAATCCACAAATTCTGATATCATACATTCAACTGGAAAGGTAAACCAGTAGTCACCAACCCTGGTCCTGGAGATCTACCTTCTTGCAGAACCTAGTTCCAAACACAATCTGCCACACTTTCTCCAGCTTATTTCATCAAAAGTCTCTGATCAGGTGCAGTAGTGTTAGGTAAGGAGGAGGCAGCACTTATGATGTAGGATGGAACCAAATTCTGCACGAAAATAGGTTTCCAGGAGGAGGGTGGTCACCACAGAAATGAAATATTAATACTAGTAAAAATATTTTTTAAAAAAGTAAAAAATTAAATAAAATAAATGAAATAAACAAACAAACAAATAAATAAAATTAATGTAAATTGTCCATAACATAAATTAACATAAACTGTAACATAAAAATGAACTATTACAGCAGGAATTATACTTTAGCATTTACGATTCTATGGCGTTTCCCTACTTATCTTAAAAGGAGGAATACATGTTTAGTAGTTTTAGCATGAATTCAACTTTAACGTGTGCTAATTCTAATTTCACAAATAAAAATAAAGTTTCGACATTCTCACAACTCTCAGGTCCTAAGCTGTTTGCCGTAGGTGAGAGAGAGAGAGAGAGAGAGAGAGAGAGAGAGAGAGAGAGAGAGAGAGAGAAAGAAAAGGTTCGTGTATCTGAACTTCGCGCTTGTGTTTGAAGGAGCCAATAAGAAAACTTCTTTTTTGTGTTCATTTTTGTGGGATGTACAGATTTGTTAAATGTCAGAGAGTTAACTCACTACATTTGCTGCTCCCGCTGCTGCTGTGTAGATACACATTCAGCTCAATTGTTAGCTTCCTGGCTAGCGACTTTCTGAAGGCAGAGAGAAATGAGATGAAATGTGTAGCTAAATTAAATGCAGTGCTTCTAAAATATTTCAGCTTTAGTAACTTCCAGGAAGGCTATTGTGCTCCTAGTCACACAGACACGTGTACGTAGGAAATGTCGAAACTTGTGCTGTTCAGTGACTTGGCTAGTTTCGTTTCGCTTGTTTGTTTCCAAGTGGCATTTCACCGTAAATCACCGATATTAAAGGGGGATTCCATCTGTTTTTAAACATGTCTGCATAATTCAGTTGTTAAGATGTGAACAGTCAGGCAGAGTGGTTTGATGAGAAATGGTTCATCGTAGATAAACGTACCAACTCAGATTTCTTTACAGTGACGGTGATGGGAACCAGAAGTGTCTGATCTACAACACAAATACAATTTTATTTACTATCCAGAATGACCAGTGAACATACACACGTCCTCTGAGTTTTTATATGCAGGGTTGATCATGGTAAAATGGTGGTAAATCTGGAAAATATATCTCAGGCTTCCAGCAGGTATTCATAACCATATAATGTAATGGCTTTCTGTGAGGGAGCTTTTAGCTAGAGACATTTAACACTTCGGATGTCTGGTTCCTATCACCGCCACTGCGAACAATTCTGTCCCAGTAAGTTTATCTAGTAAGGCTCACTGCCCATCAGACAACTTTGGATGGCCATTTAAAAATTAGTGGAATTCCCTTTGAAGTCTCAGATTTTTATTTAAAACTTTTTTTTGTCTACAGATGACTCTGAATTTGACTCTACTCATTCTTGTTGCTGGTTTAATCCAGGGCCACTGCAGGCCCCAGGGTTACAAGCATAAACCACTTGAAGAAATATCCAAAGAGATTTCAAATTATGCTGACATTGCCCAGAAAATCATAGAACTGGCAGTGTACGGGAAGGCTCAGAACCGTTCATATGAACGGCTTGCCGCCTTCACTGATACAATTGGCCACAGGCTAAGTGGATCCAAGAACCTGGACCTGGCTATAAATTATATGTACAATGCTCTGAAACTGAACGGACTGGAGAATGTGCATCTAGAACCGGTGAAGGTGCCTCACTGGGTGAGAGGAGAGGAGAGTGCAGTGATGCTTCTTCCACGAAACCACACCATGTCCATTCTTGGATTGGGCAGTAGTGTTGGAACTCCCAAAGGAGGTTTGTAGTTCGTGTACTTGGGCACTATTTTGCATATTTAAGGTTTGATGTATTTTCTCTCACCACATTCAGAAGAGATTGTGGAAGCTAAAAAGCAGGGTCTTTCAGAAATCCTTCCAGTCACCTTCATGTATTAGCTGTATTTTCTTCCTTGTTCAAGTATGAAGGAAGGCATCTTTGAAAGTGCTTCATATCAGCTCCTAAAGGCATTTGAGCTGTGGTGTGCTGTGCTCCCTCTGACAGGTATTGAAGCAGAAGTGCTGGTGGTGGAGTCTTTTGATGAGCTGAAGAGAAGGGCTAATGAGGCTAAGGGGAAGATTGTGGTATATAATCAGCCTTTTGTTAGCTATAGTGAGACAGTTGTGTACCGCGCCTCAGGAGCTTCCGAGGCTGCTAGAGTCGGAGCGGTGGCTTCACTAATTCGCTCCATCACTCCGTTTTCCATTGACAGGTACTGTACCCATCAATTGCTATGTCACTCCCCTTCCTAAAAAGGAATGTGTTACATTTATGTGAGATGACAAAGTTAGGTGTCGTGTTATCACCACTGCATTCATTACAGCTCTGTTCTTGTTACAGCCCCCACACTGGCTGGCAGTGGTATCAGCCTGGTGTGCCTCAGATCCCCACAGCATGTATCACAGTGGAGGATGCCCAGATGATGGCTAGGATGGCCCGCAGAGGCACGAGGATTGTGTTGCAGCTGACCATGGGGGCAAAGACCCTGCCAGATGCAAACTCCTTTAACACAGTGGCTGAGATCACGGGCAGTGAGCATCCAGAGCAGGCAAGTACACATACGTTCTAGGAGTCATCAGTCTAGCACAGTTTGGTGATTTCCCTACTAAATCATGCTCGCAACTCAGCAGTTAATTAACAGGTTTAGTGGGTATGTTCAAGTAGGAAAATGACCAAACTTTGCTGGAGATGGGCCCTCCATGACTCATATTCTAGGATAGAATGGGTTTCTTAGTGGATGCCAGAGATGAGCACTTGATTCAGTAACTTGGACTCAGGTTGCAACTTGACTTAGGCCCAATCCCATTTCTTATTTTTACCCCTACCCCTTGTTTTCAGGTGTCTCCCTGCCCCTTGGAGCTGAGTTTTAGGGGGTAGTGGTTGAAATCTTCCCTTACGAAATGGGGCAACCCTCCAATAAAAAAGAACATTACTTCATTAACAAGCTACCTGCGGTGCTCTGTAGGCAACCCTGCCAGTCTGCAGTGACAGCAGAGGAGGGTAAAATTCAGTAACCTCACTGCTCGTCTTTAGTTACTTTTTGGCAATTATATGCTTTCAGAGAGTTGGGATGTGACAATTATTTATTGTCGCCTGCCCCCAATTCTCTGGTGATATTAAGCTGATGTCAGCTGTTTGCCAGCTTCTTGTTTGAATTTTCCTGTTCCATCTTAAATGGTGCAGCACACCAGCCTACTACTCGCGATTTTTTTAATGCTTGTTATGAAGAAACAAACGGAACTTGTGGTTCTAGTTCTCATTAATTTACCACCTGCTCGAGAGACCACTAGGACCCTTATGACAACTGTGATTGTCAATTGAATTGTCTTTTTGGTTGTTTTATGCCACTCCAAAGCGACAAGTTTGGCTAATTGCCTACCTTGCTTGCTAGCTAGCTTTGCTTCTTGGCTGAAATGAAATGCTAACCTGCACTGTTGTCCACATAATCAAAAAAGGTTTACAACTATTATGTGTAGAAGCAAACAAAACTTCCCTTATAGCAAACTTAAAGTAAAAATTCTCAAAATAGCAATCAACACATCAACATACCACCCTAGTTCACATTCTGGTGCTCTTGTTGGTGATGTAGTAGTGCTTTAAGGTTTTATCTTCTCCTTAAAGAGTAATAAATTCAGTAAATATCTACTTCAGTTGCAGGTGTTAATCCCTCACTGGGATTAATACCAAGTTCTTTATAGCCGATATTGTTACATTGATTGTTATATTGATACAGTGTTTTGTCTGTTCTTCCTGTGTTTAGTTTCTGATTTGGGCTATAATGAGTTGATATAATATGACCATGTGCATCGTGGAGAATAGACATTATCTATTAATTACGCTATCTTATGGCAATTGTTGAGTAGTTGTTTGAATGCCAATGTCAGCATCATTCAACAACTCACTCCGGTGCTCTTTTTCCCTCCCAGCTGTCGTGTTATTAGATATGTTGTCAACAACATGACTGTGGTCATCTTTTTTTTCTTTTTTTGAATTTTGTTTGAATTTTGTGAGAATTGTGAACCCAGTATCGAGAACTGAATTGAAATGAGAACTGAATTAACCCTCCTAAAGACTCAAGTTCACAACAAATATTTTATACATGAATTGGACTTGCTTTTCAGAGACTCAAGACTAGGCTTGAACTTATATAAAGTGACTTGTGAATATCTCTGGTGGATGCAACTGCATCTTCCATGCGATCCACCTAAACAGGTTTTTTCTTCACTTCTCTTAAGACCTTTATGGAGAAATTTGATTGAACAGAAAAGAGTCATTTTGAGTTGGTGCCCTTAAATTGACTTGAACTTGTCACTGATACAGTTCATATTGAGAAACTGCCTTTCACAAGAAACACAACACATAGACTGGTTTCTGTGCAACGTAATCACAGAGATGCACGTGCAACTAGGGTGCAGAAAACAACACTCTTTATGGCAGAAATCGTCACCAACCGCAGAGAAGATTGTTGGAGAATGTTTAATATCACCAGGGGATCACATCCCCTTGCCAAACACTGCAGAAGATTATGGATCCAGGTCATTAAAAAGGTGGATTGGGGTCCAGATGGTCCCAAAGTACACCATATTGCCAAAAGTATTTGCTCGTTTGCCTTCACATGCATACGAACTTGAGTGACATCCCATTCTTAATCCATAGGGTTTAATATGATGTCGGCCCACCCTTTGCTGCTATAACAGCTTCAACTCTTCTGGGAAGGCTTTCCACAAGGTTTAGGTTTAGTGTGTCCAGAAGCACATTTGTGAGGTCAGACACTGATGTTGGACGAGAAGGCCTGGCTCGCAGTCTCCGCTCTAATTCATCCCAAAGGTGTTCTATTGGGTTGAGGTTAGGACTCTGTGCAGGCCAGTCAAGTTCTTCCACACCAAACTCGCTTCATGTCTTTATGGACCTTGCTTTGTGCACTGGTGCGCAGTCATGTTGGAACAGGAAGGGGCCATCTCCAAACTGTTCCCACAAAGTTGGGAGCATGAAAATGTCCGAAATCTCTTTGTCTGCTGAAGCATTAAGAGTTCCCTTCACTGGAACTAAGGGGCCGAGCCCAACTCCTGAAAAACACCCCCACACCATAATCCCCCCCTCCACCAAACTTTACACTTGGCACAATGCAGTCAGACAAGTACCGTTCTCCTGGCAACCACCAAACCCAGACTCGTCCATTGGATTGCCAGATGGAGAAGCGTGATTCGTCAATCCAGAGAACACGTCTCCACTGCTTTATGCGGCATGCTTTACACCGCTGCATTCAACGCTTTGCATTGCGCTTGGTGATGTAAGGCTTAGATGCAGCTGCTCAGCCATGGAACCCATGAAACCCATTCTGTAAAGCTCTCTACGCACTGTTCTTGAGCTAATCTGAAGGCCACATGAAGTTTGGAGGTCTGTAGCGATTGACTCTGCAGAAAGTGGCTGAGTTGCTGTCGTTCCCCTTCGCTTCTACTTTGTAATAATACCACTGACAGTTGACTGTGGAACATTTAGTAGCGAGGAGATTTCACGACTGGACTTGTTGCACAGGTGGCATCCTATCACGGTGCCACGCTGGAATTCACTGAGCTCCTGAGAGTGACCCATTCTTTCACAAATGTTTGTAGAAGCACTCTGCATGCCTAGGTGCTTGGTTTTATACACCTGTGGCCATGGAAGTGATTGGAACACCTGAATTCAATTATTTGGATGGGTGAGTGAATACTTTTGGCAATATAGTGTATGTGCAGCGCCCACTTTGTATCCAAATGTAGTTATTTTTTGATAGGGCGATTGGCTATCAGCACATTCGAACTGTAGTTTTAATACTGGTAGCATTTTCTGACACAGTGATTTAGACGAGGCTGAAGTCTTCTTGTTCGAACTTCCTAGTTCCACCTTAAATGTTGCCTGAGTGGGCAGTGGCTTGAGGTGCCAGAATGTAACTGCTGCACCATTTGGGGTGGAACAGGAATATTTGAATAAGAAGCTGACTTCAGCTTCATATGACTTAGCCTATCAAAATATCCTACCTACAGTTTTATATGGAGCTCTACCTATAAATATGCATTACGTAGGACATTTCAACAAGGTTGCACAATTCGTCAGCATATGGTACAATTCTGTTTGCTAACATTAGCTAATCAGGTAATCAGTAAATTAGCACTGTGTGTGATTCATATCAGTGATAGCAAAACTGTCACTGTTTTTGTTCAGTAGGTCATAGCCTGACGAACTGGCCATATAAACTGTCTGTTTACATAGCGGTGCCAGCTTGCTCCTGATATTGTCAAATAAGGAGAGGATAGACAGGCTCAACGATCAACTCAACTAGATTAAGTTAGGTGAAATTCATAGGATGTATCACCAACGTTTTACATAATTTCATATTAATATGCAATTGAAAGACAAACAGATCCAACTCTGAAGTGGCATTTTATTATTGAGTCATCAAGAATTTTCACATAACGCAAAATCTACATTGATTACAATAGTTCACTGATGTTATAATAAAGTTACCAAAGCAATATTGCCCCCTGGCTGTGTGTGCACCCCGTACCGTTTGTAAACCAGAAACCTCTCTATTCTGAAGCAGTAATGCAGTTTTTGCTTCTCCAAATCATACAAAGGATCAGCAGTGTCACTTGACTGATTGGCACAGAGTGCAACATCAGTGTGCAGTGCGGTTCAGTTCTTTAAGACTCAAACTATGACCAGCCAGTTAGTGACCACTCACGTGTGCGTGACGTGTACGTCTGTGTGACTCACTGGGATATTCAGGGAGCCAATTATAGAATTTTGGCAGAAGTTAGCCTTTCATTGCTGACTGGAGATCAGTTTCATTATTTCTCTTACAATGTTGATTAGTGAGAAAGAAATGCTGTTCTTAGATAGCCACAACAGGATACCTTCCACCTGAACCAATTATGAACAGTATAGTGCCTCTCTGTCCTGTCCATCATGCACTGTGCTTTCTGACAGTGAACATGACACCTCTCTCCAGGAGTCCAGCGCCTACTGATAGCTGGCTTCTAATTAGTGACTTGTTAGTAAAGGCTCTAACGAGCTGGTTGTCCCTCCTGCTAGAGTGCTAGCTGCAGCGGACCATTGATCTCAGAGTCGTGATGCTAAGTGTTAGAGACTCATTTTATTCTCTGCATTCTGCTGTGATGAATTTCCTCAGTGAAATCCGAAACTGTCACACACTGCTGTTTTCTGTGTGAGGTGGTGGATAACTGGTATTCATGAAGAGGGAAAATGCATTAAAACTAGACAGTTGCTCATGTTCCTTAACCTCTTATGGCCACTTTTGTGTACAAGCAGCACCCGAATAGCGTACACCATAACTACTGTTTTATAGACTATAGTGTGGTTTTGTTGAAGTACTGTGGTCTTTGTCCTTGAGTCCAAGCACACACAGGCTCACATGCACTGATTTAATTTGTGCCATTTGCTATATCTGAACTCCCTTATTACATAAGAGGGAAAGAATGCCACAACTCTGCTGACTACAGAGATTTCAATTGCTGATTCTGTCGCTCTTTATATAATGTAAACTTCATT